ATGGGGGTGAGAGAGACACACTGACTGGTCGCCACCCACACAACTCCAACTGGGGCTGGGGACAAACTGCAACCGAGGTACGTGCCCTTAGCGGGAACCGAACCTGGGTCTCTCCGGTCTGCAGCCGACGCTCTTAACTGCTGAGCCAAACTGGCCATGGCTAGCATCTTCTATATAAAATGAAGGCTACAAGCTCTGAGATACAGGAAAATAGAAAAATAATTCCACCTGACACAGCCGTGTTAATTTATTTTATTTTTTGGTTTTAAATCATGCACTTAATTTGTATGACAACATTTTAGGTGCTGACAGTACCAAAAGCCACGTTTTCTAGTCTCTTAACATTTTGTAGAACTTTGTTTTTGATCGAAAGGATACTGTATGTGACTCCTCCATTATTTGTTTTGCTCCTTTCCCCCACGAAGACCCCCCCCCACACACACACACATGCAGTGTCTGTCTCTTTCTTTTTCCTTTTCTCCCTCCATGTGACTTTTCTGAGGAGGTAAGATTTCCACTATAACATACCACTCTTCACATTCAAATGAAGGAAATGGCAGATTGTATGCCCATCTTGTTGTTAGGGTAAAGTGGAATTTTTAAATTGAGTGTTATTTATAACACTGAGTGAGATGTTTATAAATGGAGAAAAGTCTAAATGTTCATCTGTTGCCTCCTAAGACAGGGTAGGTCTTAAGACTTGGATATTTCTAGTTAAGCTCAGAAAAAGATGGCCAATGTTAGACAAGAAACCTGTTTTCAATATCTTGGCAATCCACACATTCCTACTTTACAAGTAGAGAAATTAAAATCCAGAAGAGAAGGTTTAATAGCATATTACAGGAAAAGATTCACAGAAGTAATGATGGGTAGCTTATTTATAGTTATTCCCTCAACTTTAAAATGATTATACTGTAGTAGTGATACCGTTGTAATTAACGTAGTTATTAATAATAGCTAGGAGCAAAGGAGCAAAGGGAAGGCTAAATATTATAGACTTGTCATTTGGGCAGCTTCACCAGGAAGCCAAGCATTAAACTCCCCAGGAGCCACCAGTCTATTCCCTGCAGATCACTGGGGGAAGGGACTGGACAGGGAGGAGAATGCATGCCCAGTAAAGTTGGGGTGACATTGAGTAGGTACTTGCCTGTCAGTCACACCTGGGAACAGGTCTTTGGTGAAAATGGTTGTGGCCACAGTAAGAGCAAGAAATTTGGGATATTTAATCCCCTAAACAAAGAAATTACCTCTCTTGGTTCCTCTTGGCACGCTTGGCTCATGGCTCATGCTTGGCTCTCCTGTGTTCGCCCACACAGTCCACGGCCATGTGAGCTCCCACACACAATGGACTAATGGACTACTGCCAGCCTGATGCTGAACTGGACCCAGTTCCAACATGGAAACAAGCTCTGGACACTGGCTTTGCTTTTAGCTTTACTGAAACCCGCGCTATACTTCTGTGACTGGAATGGGACTTTGGAAACCTAGGGATATATTCCATGTAAATAGAAATCACATCCTCCTGTGCGAGTCTCAGAAAATTCTTTTTCTCGAGATATTGTAAGGACCCCACCCCCAACAACCAGTGAGGAAGAGGAGACCCCAATTTCCCGGATAACAGAAGGTGAAATACAGAATACACCCACACTCTCTCTCTGTCTCTCTCTCTCTCTCACACACACACACATACACACACATGCACACATGCCTTGCTCCCCATGCAGACCCCATGCCAAGATTCTCTGAGGAAATAGATTCTTGACGCTTCTTCATTAATTCAAGAATGCAGTGTAAAGGTTACAGATTGAACACTGGTGAGCAGCTGCTTTGATGGTGAACTGCTGGTCCCTAGAGAGGCCGTGTTGCTCCCTCTCAGCCGCAGCAGCCTTAATGACTTCAAATACCTTAGTATTCATTTACATCCTCATTTAAATACTTGGTAGAAAAATAATTACACTGAGGTGTTTGATGAGATGAAATTTGATCTCAGCAGATGGAGTAAGGCTTCCTCTTTCATCAGCAGGGAAACCAAGTGTCATTTAAATGAAAATCTTCCTGAAATCTCTTTATTCCTAAATTTGTTGCCAACGTCCCTGAGGAAATGCATCCATCAAAAAGGCTTGCTGATACTGGGAAAGGATACCAATTTCGGAAGTAATTGTCATCAGGTACAGCAAAAATTTTCTCCCATCCCCATTTTTGTTACCACTTTATGTGGCTTTCAAGTTTTAACTTGAAATAATGCACAAATGTGAGTTTGAAATGGAAGTTTTTCAGCCAATGTTTTAGCTCCAGTTCTGTGTGCTGGTAACAGTATAGGAGAACGCCAACCACCCCGACTCCGTTGGCCTTGCAGTACTTTACAGTGTTAGCAACGGGTGTAAAAGACAAGTAGCATGTTCACCATGCTGCCTCCCCAAGCTGGCATCTCATGCGATGAGGCACTTGAGCTCCTAGTCACTGCGGAAGCTAGTGTGGGTGGAGAGAATGGAAGCAGCTCCATCCACTGTTTCCATGGAAGCAACAGACGAGCCTTAGCACTTAGTGAAGAACTGAATTTCAAGGGAGATGATTCTTTACAGGTACTTGCTGCTGAAAAATAATTTCCCTGCCAGAATATACTGTGAGTGCATAGCCTGTCCTTACTCTTTAATGTTTATTTTACATTAAACTTGCCAGGCATCATCCTGAACAAACAGATCTGGATTTCCTATGGAATTTTCCTGAGACTGTATGTAATCTGTGTCCGGACAGTGGGAAGACCAGTAACCCTGACAGGCTAGAGCTGCTGCAACACAGGGAGCATTTCAGTCTGTGGCTTCCATTGTGGCCAAAAGAGCCTTTTGTGTCCGGCCATCTTATTGGCCACAGCAGGCTCAGTGGCAAGTCAAGAGGCGATTCAGGGGGCAGCATATTTCAGTGAAATGCTCTGTGGGGGCAATCTGGCAGCTCTCGCTTATCTTCCAGTGTGGGCTGGAGGGCCAGCTGTATTCTCCGTGGTGGGTGGGAGCGAAAGCGAGCCAGCTGCGCCTTCTGCAGCTAGCGGCCAATGGAAGGTATCCAGCCCCCTGTGCATCTCGCTGTGGCAGTCCTGCCTCAGCTGGGGCGCTCGTTCCCCGAGGCCAGTGATAACGGGCTTCCTGACACTCCTCTTAGCCCTTTGTTTTGGGAAAACCAGACTAGTCCAGGAGGATAGAGGGAAGACCGTAAAGAACAAATACACAAATAAAGCAAAATAATGTATATGACACATTCTTTTTAAAATAAAAAAAATTACTGAAAAATCAGGATTAAAGGAAATAGCACTTGTGCATAAACTCCTAGAGGAATGATGCCCAGTAGGACCAATGATGAATCTACACAGTACAGACCACACACATTCTTGTCCAGAAAAACTCCAAGTCCTTCCTGTTACAATCTTGGCAATGGATGAGGGTTCATAAAGTGATTTGGGAAAAAGTGATGTGTCTTTGGATGGATACTTTTAGTTTCTTGGGACTGTTGTCCTCAGTCACCCTGTACACTACTTTTCAAATTGCCATTTTCTCCTAAGCTTTTCTTTGGTGATTTGTTGAGACTCAGATGGGAACATAAGCATTTTGAGACTAATTTCAGTATGTTTCAGTAGTTCAATGATCATTTCTTAGGGGGGTATGTGTGTGTGTGTATGTTTTAATACACTTCTCATGTGGTATGGATTACACAAACTTTTTGGCTCTATATTTAAAAGGATTTAATGCCATGGCTTTATGTTATCAGATACATTTTCTGAATAGAAAATGTGATATCATTTCAAGATACCACAGTGGACTGATTGACAGTTGCTCGTCTTTAGCCTAAACCACTCCATTGTTCCTCTCATCTAATACAGACTTGCTCCTTGAGATCTCAGGTTTCATTGCATTCCTACCTCCTTTGGGGACATGATTCTTCATGATCTCTTCTGATCAAGGTGGATCAAGGTGACTCACACCTGCCCACATCATTGGTTTTGGTTATTCATCTGATCTTGGTATAGTAAAGGCTCAGAAGGAGCTCAGAGGGCTGTGTTGACATAAGAAACATCCAAACCTATAGAGAATTTTTATGAGTTTATTTGAGCCAAACTCACAACACTTGCCAGGAAGCAAAATTTCAATGGATTGAGAAAATGCTCCGGAGAATTACAAAGGAGGCGATTTCATGTAAACATGAAATCCACTGGTGGTAGATTAAGGGGGTAAAAGAAAGCAAAGTGAGGAAATACCCGGAACTGAATAAAAAGTAAAGTGAAGAGACATCTACTTCTTTTACATTGGTAGATATAGGATAGTTAAGTAACATGTACATAGAGATGGTATTTGGGGAACAAGATAATAATGAGGAGCCTGTGGTCTCCTGCTCTGGTGCAGTAGGTGTGCTGTGAGGAGCCTGGAAAAGGAGATTCCTCTGACATTTAATAGCTATGTTATCTTAGATGCAAAAAGACAATAGGCTCATGTCAGGTAAAGACTGACCTTTGTCAAGGAAGCTAAAGGCCTAGGACTGGACTATCTGCCATGACTCACTTTAAGTTAGGAAGCTTTATGTTCAGATCATCCTGTGGTTACTTTCGGTCTCTGTGTTGGTAGGGCCTACCATGAGCGGCCTCCCCTGAGCTTGTTAGGTTTAGTATGTGGTCCCTTCTTTGTCTACAGTGTGTAGTGTTTAAGAGGCAGTCAGGCATGACCAGTGTGGCTCAGTGGTTGAACGTCGACCCATGCACCAAGAGATCACTGGTTCGATTCCCGCTCAGGGCACATGCCCAGGTTGTGAGCCAAATCCCCACTGGGGGGCATGCAGGAGGCAGCTGGTCAATGTTCTCTCTCATCAGTGTTTCTATCTTTCTCCCTCCCCCCCTCCTCTATCTCTAAAATCAATAAAGAAAAACATAATTAAAAAAAAAAAAAAAGAGGCAGTTGGATAATTGACCGCCCACTAAATAGGTAGTATAAGAAATGACATTCCTATTTCTTTTCTAGATATTTAATGCTACGAGTGAGCTGTCGAACACTGCTGCCTATCAGTCTGTCCGCATCCTGTCCGTGTCTCTCGTTCAGGCAGAGCAGGAGCTGGAGGATCTTGCTGGGGTTGACTTGCCGTGGTCTGAGCCCACCTCAGGTGAGTGAGTCCTGGAACACGTGCCCGGGTGGAATCTGTGATCCTGAATTTGGTTCTTATCTATTTATTATGATTCAACCATCCTTTTTTCATTTCTTTTTATTTATTTATTTTTTTTATCCTCACCCCAGGACATTTTTCCATTTTTTGTACAGATAAAGTGGGAGGGAGAGAGAGGAAGAGAGAGAGAAGGAGACATCGATGCGAAAGGGACACATCGAGTGGCTGCCACCCGCACGACCAACCAGGGCCGGGGACAAACTGCAACCGAGGTACATGCCCTTAGCGGGAACTGAACCTGGGTCTCTCCAGACCGCAGGCGGACGCTCTTTTTTCATTTCTTATAGGCTGCCCACCCTATTCCTGATGGTAGCCATCCCACAAGTTTATTCCCAAGACTCCACTGGTGAGTCTTCTTCCTTGTTGTTAGCAGATGACTCTACCTTCAGCTTCACTGAATACACGGAGGCCATTCAGCGTGGCATCTCTCATCAATGCCTCAGTGCTCTCTCCTCCCCGCCCTCCTCCCTCCTCTCTCCTCTGTTTCCGTGTCTGAACACAACCAACTAGAATCCTCTCACAGCTACCTCTGATGCGGGCTCTTACTTCCTCCAGGGCCTTCTTTTGCCCATCAGGCTCTGTTCTTTCCCACACTGTCCATTCATTCAGCAGGAAATTATTATATCCTGTGTGTGGCTCTGTGCTAGGCCCCAAGGGGAGAGCAGTGAGCAAGACAGACAGTCTCACTCTCAGAGCTTAGCTTTTCTTCAGTTACAACAAAACGAAGCAAAACCGAACACAACAAACACCCTTCACACAATGCTTCGCCTCTCTCCTTTGCTTTGTTAAACCTTTCTAGAACATCTTTTTATTTTCCATTCTTTTCGCTGCCTTTCCGTGTGTTCCCTCTCCAACCCTTTGTAATCTGTCTTCTGCTTCCATCTCAACAACTTATTCACCTCCACGTGACTGCTGTTCTTCTAACTGTACACTCTGGGTCCGCCACAGCGTCCCACCGGGCCGCCCACCCGCTGTGGGAACCCCCCTTCCTGTTCGCTTGTGTGGTGCTTCCTTTCCCTGCTCTTCTCCTCTGTCTTCCCCCTGCCTAGGGCTTCGCTTTCGTCCGTTCCGTCCTCCAAATGTGGTCCCTGGTGATCTTTCTAGTCCCTTTTCTCTTTCGGTCTGTACAGTTGGTGATCTCAGTTGCTCCTACATTTTCAAGTATTAATTAATTCAACAAATACTTGAGTGCCTGCTCTGTGCTAGGCACTGGCCTTGGCGCTGGGAGTACAGCAGTGAATAGAGCAGGCACAGCAGCTGGTCCTGTGGAGCTCGCATCCGAGGCCAGGGGGTATGGGAAGTGAGGACTACCGTTAGTGAAGGGTCTGATATTTCCAGTGTCACACTATCTGAACTCCCCCTATGAGAACTTAAGAACTAAATTTATTTTGGTAAATTTTTGAATGAATGTTTTGGTCTGTGAACTCTCACGACATGTTATCTAAAACTCAGGAATTACTGAGATTCGGTTAAGGTATATATACCTTGCTGTCACCTCACTCTCTGAACTCAGAGACCAAATAAATTTGGGTGTATCAAGGGATCGATTAGATGGTGACGGTGCTAACGCATCAGGGAAGGGAAGCAGTAGAGACTCTTGGAGCTAGGATGGGTGCTGGGCTCCAGTTTAGAAAGTCCAGGGCAGCCCCATGAGAAAGGCGACAGGTCAGTGATAACCTGACAGCGGCGAGGCAGTGCAGATGCCCGGGAAGAGCAGAGGCCAAGTCCTCTCGCACTTCAAACCTCTCCTGCCCCTTCTGTTGTCATGTGTCTACGCACAGCTAGAGGGTTTCCTGACTTTAAGGACTCAGATAATTAGATTGGACCCATTTGGATAATTCAGGACCATCTCCTGTCTCAAGGTCCTTAATAGCCCAGTCACATTTACAAAATTCCTTTAGCCATGAAAGGTATATTCACAGGTTATAGGCATTAGGGTTGGCCATCTTTGGTGAGCTATTCTGCTTACATACAGTCTTATTCTCAAGTATTTTCAAGTGGCTTTTCATCTTCTTTACTCCCAGCGTGAATCCAGCCTCCCCTCCAGTCTTTTTTCCTTTGTAATCTATGCTCCAGTCAAACACTTTCAAATGTTCTTCTATTCTGTGGGCCCTTTAATACATTGTCTTCTCTGCCTAGAATGCCAGCTCTGCTCATTAAACTTCTGTCTGCCCTTCGAGGCTTCCCCACCTCTCGCCCTGTCCCTTTAAAAAAATATATGTTTTTATTGATTTTAGAGAGAGAGGAAGGGAGAGGGAGAGAAGCACCGATGTGAGATAGCAACATCGATTGGTTGCCTTTGTGCCCCAACTGGGGATCGAAACCATAACCCGAGTATGTGCCCTGACAAGGAATCGAACTGGTGGCACAGGACGACACTCAGCCAACTGAGCCACACCTGCCAGGGCTCTTCTTGTCCCTCTTAATGACCTTTTCTCTCCACCTGCGCATCAGTGAAACCAGTTTTATAGCAGCCATCCACAGCCACCCGACACCAGCCCCCCACAGCCCCTCACAGCCACCCGACACCAGCCCCCCACAGCCCCTCACAGCCACCCGACACCAGCCCCCCACAGCCCCTCACAGCCACCCGACACCAGCCAACACACATCCACGGACTGTGTTAGGTCCAGACATTAAACGAATAGTGTAGTGGGGTAAGGGAAGCACTATGCATAGAGTATTATGGAAGCACAGGAGGAGGTCAGTCTTTATTGGGCTTTTTATGATCTGCCTTTCATTTTATATTTGTTCTTTTGCTGTCAAAACCCCTTAATACATGTTAGTACCTCTTGAGGCACTTAACCATATGCTGCCATATATTTTATTCAGCTGAATAAATGTCTTATTTTGTAGAATATAAGATCTATGAGGAGAGATTCTTTGTTTCTCCTTTTTATTTACTGTACTCCCAACATCTGGAAGTGCCTGGCACCTAGTAGGTACTCAATTTTAATTGATTTAAATTCATTTGAATTCCCATTATTACGCTATCAACTTTTTGAGTGCCCGAACTATATTGAACTGTAATAGTGCAATGATCTGTAATAGTGCAAGCCAGTGACTTAGACGTGGTAAGTCACGTCTAAATGTTAGGTTGAATTGCCCCGTCAGTGGAGCGTGTGTGCATGTTCCTTCTTCATCCGCTTTCCTCTGCCGTGGAGACTGCGCACTCTGTTGTGTGTTGGTTACTGGGCTGTAGGACATAGGAGCTAGACGGTGCTGAAAATTTAAACACCAGTTTTGGTGTTTGTTGCTTTCCCTTTTTTAAAAATTCCTTACCTGAGGATATTTTTCCACTTATTATCAGACAGAGTGGGATGGAGGGAGAGAGAGAGAGAGAGAGAGAAAAACATCGATGTGATAGAGCCACATCGACCAGTTGCCTCCCACGTGACCTGACCAGGGACTGGGACAAACTGCAACTGAGGTACATGCCCTTGACCGAATCAAACCCGCAACTCATTGGTCTTTGTACCTGCGCTCTAACCGCTGAGCCAAACAGGCCAGGGCTGTTGCTTTCCCTTTTAGCCAAACTTCCCATCACTTATTTGTCCATGTTATCATTCCATAGCTATAAAATTGGGTACAAAGCTACTCAGAAAAAAATATACATTTCTTCTTGACATGCTGCCTGCTTGCCTATTCCCTTGCACAAGTTAAGTGGGGACAAATGGCAAGGGAAAAGGAGAGGTGAGGTGAGGGCGGTATGGGGGCCCAGTGGCCTTTCTGCCCCTCGCCGACTGAGGAGGACTGTCGTATTCCTGGGTTCTCAGGAACTGTAAGAGATAGGGGAGCATGGGGGGAGGTCAGCTTGCCTGGCTGTGGAACTTTGTTCTCTGCTAATGAGATACTTGCTTCTCAGTCTCGTCTTACTTGGGGAAGTTCTTAGAAAGGAACGTAAGGAATGGCCCACACTCCTCCTCCTCACCTAGACCCATCCTGTACCTATAGTTTTCATCCCTCTGCTTTTTACCTGATTTTTGAACTGTTTTTCTGAACAGAAAACTTAGGCCATGGGAATTTCAAGTACATGTCAGCAGTGTGCTGGCTCTTTGGGCGTGATCTGTATGACACCCTGCAGTATCCCATTGGGCTGATCTCCTCATCATGGAGTGGGACACCCATTGAAGCCTGGTCCTCTGGAAGGTCACTGAAAGCCTGTGGGGTCCCCAAGCAAGGGTAAGAAAGCATCCTCCAGTCCGGGAGAAAGACAACCAGGAAATTATATAAAAGAGAAAGATTATGGTCTCCTCGGGGGAGTCAAGTATGTGTTGAATGTCCAAATATGTATTAACTTATTCCATGCACAGGTAAGATATTATTTTCACTCTCATACCACCACAGTCATCTGAGAATATTACAAGAAGCAATTATAATTCTTTTTTTTTTTTTTTTATCCTCACCCGAGGATATTTTTCCATTTTTGTACAGATAGAGTGGGAGGGAGAGAGAGGAAGGGAGAGAGAGAGAGAAACATCGATGTGAAGGGACACATCGAGTGGCTGCCACCCGCACGACCAACCAGGGCCGGGGACAAACTGCAACCGAAGTACGTGCCCTTAGTGGGAACCGAACCCGGGTCTCTCCAGACCGCAGGCCAATGCTCTAACCGCTGAGCCAAACTGGCCAGGGCTATAATTCTTTTTCTTGATAATAATTATAGCTAATACTTATGAAAGCTTTATGCTAGAAAATGTTATAAGCAGTTTATTATATAGCAACCCATTTAACACAACAATCTCTTGAAATGTAGATATATTAACGTACTGTGGGTAAAGATACAAAGTCTGAGAGAGCTTTAGTAACTTGCTCATGGATGTGATGAGTAAGTGACAAAGTCTGGTTTCAGTGTCTGTGCTCTTAACCACTGTGCTCTATTGCTGATCAGAATACACAGTGTAGCAGGAAGACGAATATACATGTAATCAAAGAAATATATAGTATAGTGATTATGAGCGCACCTCAGGAAAAGCTGGGTCAGGAAGAATAGCTGGTGGTGGGGTGGGTGTTGGAGCCCGGGCTACTTAATAAAATCTCAATACTCATACTAATGTAGAGGTTACCGATACGTGAACTGCTTTCACAGACAGTGTCTCATCAGTTCTGGGAAGGCCTTGGGAAGAGGGTGGACTTGAGCTCTTGGTGTAGCTGGTAAAGGTGTACCTGTGTGAAGACATTCGATTCTGGAGCAGAGAGAATCACCCGTGGTAAAGTAGGAGGAATCTGAAGCCAGGCTTCCCAGGTCTCTGAGGACATGGAAGGACAATTCCAAGGGTGTGCGAAAGAGGGTATAAATCCATACAAGTCTACAGAGAAATTTAGGAATGTGTTGAAAGCCTTAAAAAAAAGGTGTCTTTTGACCCAGCAGTCTCATTTCTAGGAATTTGTCTTAAGGAAATACTTAAGTCTGTATGGAATGATTAAGCTATAGGAAAGAAACTCATGGCATTGCTTATATAAGCAAAAAGCTTAAAACAAGCCAAGTGTCTATTCATTGAGTACTAGTTAAATAAATTTATTGCCTGTTTAAGAGACACATAATAAAACATTTCTTCTCTCTGTGGTTTCAATGACCTTATCTGGAAAGTGGGATGGCCCACTCTGAACTCACAGAAAACTGACTGATACACGTATCCTGGAAGAACCTGGAAGTGAACTTCAGAGACTATTCACATGTTTACGTGTGAAACAGAGTGGTTCAATTTCACTCTGTGTTGCTTTCATCAGAAGTTCGCCCCGAGTGAGAGCTGGATAGACACCCAGCTCAGGGATCTGCATGGGATCAGTCGCCAGCTCTCTCGTAACATCCTGTATCTTATCGATTTCAGGTTCATTTTATCTGATCCTGTCAGTGGTCCCAGTGAACACTCTGTTCTCTGGAATGCCATGATCCATCCACTACATAATATGACTCTAAAAGGTGTGATATGGTACCAGGGTGAGTGTTCAATTTGCTATTTCTCCATTGTATCAGTTAGTTTTGCTATATAACAAACCATCCTAGAATTTAGCAACATAAAACAAAAATAATTTTATTTAGCTCACTACTCTGTGTCTAGCAGGGTAGTTTTTCTGTCTGGGCTTCTTTGGCTAATTTCTGCTGGGAGCTGGGATCTCTTATGTGTCTTTGGCCACATTGTCTGATGTCTGGGTGGCTTAGAATGGTCCCTCTTTCATGTGTTGACTGGGAGCTATCTGCTGGGGTCTCACGGTTATCATGTAGCCTTCCATCCTTCAGCAAGCTAGCTCAGACTTATTTATTGTTTACATAACAGTTTCAGGGTTCCAAGTGTATCAAGAGAGAGCAAACTCCCAAACTGAAACACTCTTCAAGTCCGCTTGCATCATGTTTGCTGATGCCCCTGTTGGCCTGAGCAAAGCTAGTCCAGAGAGGCAGGGAGGCACCGTTCCTAAGGGCATGGATAGAGGTTGGGGAGTGTGGTGTTGTCATTTTTGCATCTACTCCAAACTCCTCTTACAATGTGGACTGTTTTTAGGGGAGTCCAATGCAAATTTTAACAGAGACCTATACAATTGCACATTCCCTACACTCATTGAAGACTGGCGTCAAACCTTCCACAGTGGATCTCAGGGACAGACAGACCGTCTCTTCCCATTTGGATTTGTTCAGGTATGTGTTGATGGGAGGAGGGTTTAGGGACTGTGCTATGGGAATGTGCTGTTGAGATCTCTTTCCTGGAATTCATATTTCCTTTATCACCCTCATAGCCACTGGTCAAGAACTGAACGTAAGACTTCATTCATCTCTGTTCATCGATGAGACAATTAAATCTTTTAAAAAAGTTAATAACTAGCCCGGCTGGTGTGGCTCACTGGTTGAGCGTCGACCCATGCACTAAGAGGTCACCAGTTCGATTCCCAGTCAGGGTACATGCCCAGGTTGTGGGCCTGATCCCCAGTTGGGGGGCATGCAGGAGGTGGCCAGTCGATGTTCTCTCTCATCGATGTTTCTATCTCTCTCTCTCTCTTCCTCTCTCTCTAAAATCAATAAAGGCAAAAATATTAAAACAAAAAAAGTTAATAACTAACTAATATTTCTTCCTATTAAAAAAGCATTATAGCCCTGGCCAATGTGGCTCAGTTGGTTGAGTGTTGTTCTGTGCACTGAAAGGTGACAGGTTCGATTCCTGGTCAGGGCACATGCCCAGGTTGTGGGCCTGACCCCAGTGGGGGCATGCAGGAGGTGGCCAATCGATGTTCTCTCTCATTGATGTTTCTGTCTTTCTCTCCCTCTCCCTTCTCTCTCTCTCAAAGCAATAAAGAAAAATTTTTTTAAAAAAATATTATTTAAAAATTACATGTTTATTGAACAAATATTAAAAAGATAAGCTAGCCCAACTGGTGTGGCTCAGTGGTTGAGCATTGACCCATGCACCAAGAGGTCACCAGTTCGATTTCCAGTCAAGGCACATGCCCAGGTTGTGGGCCAAATCCCCAGTAGGGGGCATGCAGGAGGTGGCCAATTGATGTTCTCTCTCATCGATGTTTCTATCTCTCTTCCTCTCTCTCTCAAATCAATAAAGAAAAATAAATTTTAAAAAAGATAAGCTAAAAACATTTATAATTCCACAGTCCAGAAATAAGCAGACTTTTCTGCTCATTACTTTTGAAATAGGATTCATATCATAACACTTTACCATAACTTGCTTTTGATTTCTCATAATGTCATATTGTGAACATTTTTCATGCCAAGAAATATCAATTTTAGGCAGAATTTATTATTATAGAGTATTCTGAAATATGGTTATATTATGATTGATTTAACTAGTCCTCAATAGAGAGGCACTTAGGTTGCTTTAAACATTTTGCTTGTATAAGCTGCGGCATGTTTATATTCCTTGTAGCTCGCCCTGGCCAGTTTGGCTCAGCGGTTAGAGCGTCAGCCTGCGGTCCAGAGAGACCCGGGTTCGGTTCCCGCTAAGGGCACGTACTTTGGTTGCAGTTTGTCCCCGGCCTTGGTTGGTCGTGCGGGTGGCAGCCACTCGATGTGTCCCTTCACGTCAATGTTTCTCTCTCTCTCTCCCTTCCTCTCCCTCCCTCCCACTCTATCTGTACAAAAAAATGGAAAAAATATCCTCGGGTGAGGATTTAAAAAAAAAAAGTATATTCCTTGTAGCTAAATCATTACATATATGCTTAATTATTTCTATAGGATAAATTCCCAGAAATCTAGCTTACTAGATTAAACTGAATACTTAAAAAATATATTTTTCTTTATTGATGTTAGGGAGAGAGAGGGAGCTAGAAACATTGATGAGAGAGAACATCGATTGGCCGCCTCCTGCACACCCCCCACTGGGGATCGGGTCCACAACCTGGGCATGTGCCCTGACCGGGAATTGAACTGGCGACCTCTTGGTGTGTGGGTCACTGCTCAACCACAGAGCCACACCAGCCATGCTAAAATGAATACTTTTTAAGGCTCTAAACATGTTCCCAAATTTCTCTATAGAAATTTATGAATTTGTATAAATGTATACCCTTAGCAACAATGGGTGAGAATGTTCACTTCCCCATACCCTCCCTGATGGTGTTATCCCTGCCACTCCTTAGAGTGAACCTTGTTCTCTCACCCCAGGCCAGTACATATGCTCTTTGCCTGAAATAATCTTTCTCTCCCATACTTTCCTAGCTAATTTTAGTTACCCGGTAGGTCTCAGGCTGGATATGAGTTAGATTGCCTTCTGTGACTAACCAAAGTCTGGGTTAGGTGTCCCCTCCTCAGATGGGTGATCCTGTAGCACTCTCTACTGCCCTGCTTACTTACATGTAGATTGCACCCATGACTGCCTTTCCCGGATCACTTTTATATCCCTAATACCCAATCGGTTGACACTTATTAAATACGGCCCAGCACATGAATAAAGAATACATCAAGAGAAAACCTACTTTTAATTAGTGGTAACTTGTCAAAAAGATTCTGCTCTCAGCCTTGTCTAAAAGAAATAAACATATTTAACAAACTTCCTAATTGCCTTGCCCTCTAAGACCTAGACTTTTTAGGAGGGTGGTAGTTCTGACTTTGCTGGAACCTAGGAAATTAAACAAGTAAAATGTTATAAAAACAAGGCCCAGCTCACAACATACTGATGAAATGGGCTTTAGTATTTGAATTGGACATGATACTTCCAGATGGCTGCCTCTGGATGCCTATGGATTCTTCCCTCCCACCATCCGCCCACCTCCTCTACCTTGTCCTACTTCACCATACTTTTTTTGGATAAAGATTTTTATAGACACTCTTTGCACTTATAACTACTTTACAATAATTTTTTTTCTTACATTTATTTTGACTTTGAAACAAGATTATTCTGCTCGTTATCAAAATAGCAACTCTTATCACCAGTTCTGTGTTACTGTTGGTGGAGACTGCATTTGGATTTTGAGGTACTTTTTTTGTCTCTTAGCTGGGGTTTGTGGTGATTTAAATGTGACTTCAGCCACAGCCGAGCACTTATGATGTGCTGTGAGCTGTGCGACGTGCAAGAACAGCATGAGTCAGAGACCTTGTCCTTGCACTTGGGCCTTACAGTTTAGTAGAATCCCCTTAGCCTCTGGGCTTTAACTTTACATCATCAACAGAAATGTGGTTACATGTGGAAATCTGAGACTATAAGCATCTGCCTTCAAAGGGAAATACCAGATCGAAGCTCCCTTCAGATCAAAGCTAGTCTGTCAGGCTTCCAGTCCCAGCTCTGACACTTCTTTAGCTGTATGATTTTGAACGAGATATCAGACTTCCTTGTTATTTTAAGTATTAAGTGAGTTTAATCCATGTGAAGCCTGGCACATGCCAGATAATGTTAGTGTTTGTTTTTATTAATGAGAGAAGTCAGGAAGTCTGGAGGGACAGTTGGTCTGTAAGGAAAGATGAAGTGTTGGGTTTGCAATGATGGTTGCAGTAACTGGAGCACAGTTAGAGATGAAGGACCCAAGGTCAGTGAGTAGACCAGGGCCAGACACAGGTGTCAGAGATTGTTCGTAGAGAGGTGACCTGAGCATGGTAAGGAAAGAGAACAGGATGCCAGGGACAGGTGTCCCCAGGACTATGCTTTCTTTCTTTTTTAAGAAAATTTATCTTTATCGTCGAAAGTATTACCGATGTCCCTCTTCTTTTCCCCACTGACACCCCCTCCCCACTTCCATACCCTGGACTATGCTTTCTTAAAAGGGGTTTGGAGGACCAGTGGAACAGACTGCAAACTACAGTGTGCTATTTGTAAAGTCCTCTGAACGTGGCCACCTTTATATTCTTGAGTTATTCTATGCCTTCATAAGCAGCAGTATTTCTACTAGTCACCATGGGACACTGAACAGCACCCTGCTATGATCTCAGGTTAGGAAAAACAATTTGGTTGTGGAGTATGCTGGTGCCCCCATGTGGCCAGTATGTACTAGTGCAATCAATGAAATGGAATGGAGAATTGCTGCAGGAATTCTCAGCAAAACTGCCATTTTGAGAAAACTTCCTTAGTATGAGTGACTGTTGTTAGCGTTTCTCCCTGTTGTGCTTCATGCTGGTCCTTACCATAGGTCTTTCTGGTGGCTTTGTTGCTGTGATCCCTATCATGGCACTGACCTGTTGAACATGTTTCTTCTTTCAGTCTTCTGGGTGTCGTGTGGGAAGAAGCAGGGTGACTCACGGATCTCTTTATCCCATTTTTTAGTTTTCATGAGCTTCCATTGTGAAGCTTTAGCACCTTTTATCATTTAATAGATCAAAGCCAATTTGCATTAGAGATTTTAATAAGAGAATTGGAAATACCGCCTACATTTAATATCATACCTGTCAACATAAGGAATGCCTATCCCTCTCTGCGTGGCTCATTTTGGCTGGAATATCATCTCATACACCAAAAGGTTGCAGGTTCGATCCCTGGTCAGAGTGTGTATGGGAGGCAACCAAGCAATGTTTCTCTCTCATTTTGATGTTTCTCTCTCACTTCTATATCTTTCTCTCTCTCTCTCAAATCAATGAACATATCCTAGGGTAAGGATTAAAAAATAAAAGAAACATCCAAACCTGTGGAGAATTTTATGAATTTATTTGAGCCAAACTGAAGACAATTTCTGAGAAGCAAAATCTCAGTGGATTGAGATCCGCTCCAGAGAAGGGCAGTTTTGCTGCTTGTTTTATGCATTAGAATAAAAGGAGGAGATGTAAGGAGAGTTACATGAAATTCATTAGTGGTACGGTAAGGAGGTGGGAGAAAGCAAAGAGGGTAAGTCTCTAGGACTGGATAAAAAGTAAAATGGAAAGACACATACTTCTTTTACATTGGTGGGTACAGGATAGTTAATAATTAACTTTTATAGCACCCAGAGATGGTATTTGGGGAATAAGATAATGTTGAGGGGTTCTGTGGTCTCCTCCTGGGGTGCGGTAGGTGTGCCATAAGAGGTCTGGAAAAGGAGATTACTGTGACATTTCAAAGGGATGTTATCTTAGATGCAAAAAGATAATAGGCTAACGGCAGGTAAAGATTGACCTTTGTCAAAGAAGCTACAGGCCTAGGACTGCACTACCCGCCATGACTCATTTTTGGTTAGGAAGACTTATGTTCAGACCATCCTAATAGGTTACTTTTGGTCTCTGAGTTTGCAGGGCCCACCATGCTGGCCTCCCCTGAGCTTGTCAGGTTTAGTATGTGGCCCCTTGTTGGTCTACATACCCTTCATTCCATATCTTTTCTGCTACTATTGCAGCCTCTCCAGTGTTTTCCTGATGATTTTCTAGTCTTTCTGGAACAACTCAAGGAGCAGGAAATGTCATCTGTCCAAAGCTTCACTTGGCCACATCCGTAGGGATGATTGCAGGTGTTTCCTGGGCCATGAGAGTGAGAGGCTGGGAGGAATAGTCTGTTCCTAATGCAGTTCCTCTGATGGGGACAGACATTTTACAGTGACCATGTGGTTGTTTACCCAGGCTGTTTCTCAGTTTCCGGTTTGACCTACTGTTAGGTCATGGTTTATAAAGAGAGATCATAGGTTGATGCCTCTCATTGGCTGGAACTAGGGCTAAGAATGAGGTACTGTCTAAAGCAGAGAACAGGGTGATACAAACATCAGAGAAGGAAGGAAGGAATAGTGGAACCACATGCACTGTAGTAATTTAAAGAACTTTTCTGGGAGCTTCTGTCCTTTGCAGGAGTAGGGGTCTATCAACTTTGAATCTAGATGAAAGCAAATCCTATGTACTCAGCATGTATACAGAATCCATGACTTAAAATAACATTTATTATTATAGCTCCCGTGTCTGGGTAGCTGGGGGTTGACTGATCTCGGCTGAGCTCCACTGGGTACTTTCATATCTGTGTGGGTCAGCTGGGGGCTCTGCTGCAGACCAGGCTTGGCTGAATTGGGTTGATGAGGCAGCTCTGTTCCCCAGCTGTCATCCTTCTCTCGAGAGGAGTGGGCTAGCCCTGGTATATCATTCTCACAGTGAAAGCAGAAATGTGAAACAGTAAGTGGAGCCATGCTAGGTCTCTTGAGGTCCAGGCTAGGAACTGACACACCATAACTTCTGTTTCATCCTTTGGCCAAAGCAAACCACATGGATAAGCTCAGAATCAAGTGGTGGGGAAATATACCTTTTCTCTCTCTTTTTTTTAAATCCTCACCCGAGGACATTTTTTTTTTTTTTAATTTATCTTCAGATAAAGCAGGAAGGAGAGAGGGAAGAGAGAGAGAGAGAGAAACATCGACGTGAGAGACACACATCGACTGGTTGCCACCCACATGACCCCAATCAGGGCTGGGGACAAACTGCAACTGAGGTACGTGCCCTTCGCGGGAACCAAACCTGGGACTCTGGTCTGTTGGCCAACGCTCTAACCACTGAGCCAAACTGGCCAGGGCTATACCTTTTTTCTTAATAGGAGAAACCATAAAGCCATATGACAAGAGGGTGTGGATATAGGACGGTATTAAGAATTTGGATCTTTGATACAATTTGCCCACACACTCAAGGAGAGATTGCTTTTTGCTTTCCTATAAAGTGCCTAGCCCTGTGTTATATACAGATGTGTCCATTACCTATTACTTGGCAACAAACTACCTCAAAACTTAGTGTCTTAAAACATCAGCCATTGTTTCTGCTCATGATTCCATGGGTTGGCCAGCTGGTCTCAAGTGGGATGGTTCACCTCTGCTCTCTGTGGTATTAGTGGGCTTGCTCATGTGTCTGCAGTTTGAACGGAAGGATATAGAATTCTTACGACTGGCCCCTCTGCTGGGGTTCCTGGGACTACCTATCCCCTTCATGGCCTTCTAGTGTCCAAGGCCCCTCTCTCTACATCATTCCTCCAGCAGGGTAGCCAGACTTTTTACCTGGCCACCAGGGCTCTAGGAGAATGAAATCAGAAGGCAGGGGTCTTGCTGCAACAACTGGAAAGCTGCACAGCATCACTTCAAGCATTCCCCTGTTCAGACAACTGCGCAGACGCAGCCTAGGTTCCACGGAGGAGACAGACTCCGCCTGGTGATGAGAAGGGTGGCAGAGTTACACTGTGGCAGGTGGCATGAGAGGGATTCGGCCACGGCAGTGAGAAGCTCTGTAAATATTTGTTGAATTAACTTTCGAACAAATGAGTGAGGTGGAACGAGGCTATGCTTGTGAAAAAGACGCCAGTGTAGGATTCTAATGCAATAAAATTCTGGTGCAACAAATGGTGAATGGTAATCACATTTCTCTACTTTCTAGTTGTCTTCATTTTTGTCTCATGCAAACTCAGATGATGGATTTCCCCAGATTCGTTGGCATCAAACAGCAGACTTTGGCCATGTCCCCAACCTAAGGATGCCCAACACTTTCATGGCTGTAGCTATGGATCTCTGTGACAGGAACTCACCTTTCGGCAGGTATGGGTGCTTCTTGGGCTTTGCTTGACTAATAATAATAATAATAATAATGTATGTTCCTTTTCTGTGGCCTTCACTGTGATGTTCACTTGTGAGGAGGGAGAGCGTAGATGGTCTAAGGGTTGGACCCTAGAAGCATTATCTACAGTCATTTACACCGGGATGCGCTGTAGTAATAGAAAAGAACCCTCAACATGTCAGTGCTTTGATGCAACAAAATGTACTTCTTGCTTATGCTACATGTCCAAAGGTCAACAGAGAGGCTTTGCCATCATAGTCATTCACAGATCCAGAGAAATAGAGGCACCAAGTCTATCTGTACTTCCACAGTCACCTTAATGTCCCACACTGGCAATTAAGTGCTCTCCCTGGAAGCAACACAAGTCACTTCTGCCCACATTGCATTGGCTGAAGCAGTCATGTGGACACGCCCAGCTTCAGGGAGGGCTGGCAACGTGCTTCTCCCACGGCCTCAGAGGAGGAGCAGTGGAGTATTTGTGAGTGGCCCCTATGACTACCACAAGCTAGCTGTAGGGCACAAGAGGCTTTCAATGCAGCCCAGTACACAATGTCTGGATTATAGTAGGAACTTGAACTAATGTTCGTTTATTTATTTATATTTTTTTCTTTATTGATGTTAGAGAGAGGAAGGAAGAGGGAGAGAGAGATAGAAACATTGATGAGAGAGAACATCGATTGGCCACCTTCTGCATGCCCCCCACTGGGGATTTGGCCCACAACCTGGGCATGTGCCCTCACTGGGAATCGAACCGGTGACCTCTTCTTGGTGCTTGGGTCGATGCCCAACCACTGAGCCACACCAGCCGGGCAATGTTTATGTATTTTTGAATGAATGAATATTTATTGCATGAACAAATAGAACCTGGAGGGGACCAAGTAATGAACAGCTGGTTCAGATGAAACACAGGATATGTTGGTTGGATTAGTTTTTTGTTTTTTTTTTAATTTTTTTTCTTTATTGATTTTTAGAGAGAGAGGAAGGGCAGAGGGAGAGATAGAAACATTATGAGAGAGAACATCAGGCCGCCTCCTGCATGCCCCCCACTGGGGGTTGGGCCCACAACCTGGGCATGTGCCCTGACCAGGAATCAAACTGACGACCTCTTGGTGCATGGGTTGACAACCACTGAGCCACACTGGCTGGGCTGGAATAGTCTTATGAGTTAGCTCTCCTTGGTTAGTTCTGATACCCACCTTCCCTCCCTCTTTATCCTACCCCTTCTCTCCCTCCCTTTATTTCTTTCTTCCAAGTCATCTGTTATTTCAGGGTTTCTAACCCATAGAAAGCCCAGAGCCTCATCTGTGATTACCATTCACCATTTTTCTTAAGCTGACTAGCCACTGATCAATGACTGTTAGATTCAGTCAACATTATTTTCACCTTCTTAAAGGGTGCTTTGTTATCTCCTTTTTTAAAAAATGTGGTTATTATTGAGCTCAAACCCAAAATTCTCTACTTGTGGCTTATCCTGTAGCATCCACCCTCGAGATAAACAGACTGTGGCCTACCGGCTGCACTTGGGGGCCCGAGCTGTGGCTTATGGTGAGAAGATGCTGACCTTTGAAGGACCCTTGCCCAAGAAGATAGAGCTCTTGGCTCACAAGGGACTGCTCAACCTCATGTATTCCCAGCAAATCCTGGTGCAGAGGCAGGATGACAAGATATTTGAGGTGAGAAGAATTGCAGAAACAATAAGGGTTCCTCTAAATCTGGGCCTCAGGATTTCCTCCACAGTGAGGCCCATCTCTTCAATTTAACGTGACTATGAGGCAGGGCTTGGTTGGTGGGGGCTGAGTTTGTCTCAGAGGGGCAAATAAGCAGCTTTTAATCCATTTACTTAGATCAGCGATTTTCAACCTTTTTCATCTCGTGGCACACATAAACTAATTACTAAAATTCTGCGGCAAACTAAAAAATATTTTTGCCAATCTAAAAAAAATATAGGTATAATTTTGATTCATTCCACACTGGACAGCTATTGCTGTGTTGGCTGTTGTCATTTTTATATTTGATAGTCTAAAGGAAAAGAGATCAGTGCCCCTGACTAAATACTCAGGTATTGCATGTTTTAAAAATTCTTAGAGCACACCAGTTGACAGTCGCTGGCTTAGAGACAATTTTGATGCACAGGACAATCAAGGAAGGGAAAATGAGTCCATATTAAAATGGTATTCCTTTTGTATTTTCCCTCCCAGGGCAACTGTCTTTGCTCTGGGCAGGGCTTGCAACTTTATCTGTAGGTTACCTATTAAAAGGACCCTTGTTCCAGAATATTTCCCTCATCCTTGGATGTCTCTTTTCTCTTAAATTCTGATATTCTTTTGAGTTTAGTGTCTCCTTTAAGAGGTTAAGCTTGGTGATTTTTAACTTAGTGTGAATTTATATAATGAAGCTACTTTCTTCTAATGCCTAGCAAGGATCATTCTACCGCAGAACTGGGGCTATTGATGAAAGAGTTTCTTTTAAGAGTCTCCTGTGGTAGGGGGTGGAGGTGGAGGCATTCCTAGGTGGAACGTTTACACAAGTCTGGGAACCAAGAGGCCATTAGGCTACAGTTGTGGTGTATGGAAATGGAGCACTGGAGATGAAAGAATATCTATCTATCTATCTATCTATCTATCTATCTATCTATCTATCTATCATCTATCTATCATCTATCTATCTATCTATCTATCTATCTATCTATCTATCTATCTATCTATCATCTATATTTTTTTTATCCTCACCTGAGGACACTTTATCTTCAGATAGAGCGGGAGGGAGGAGTGGGGGAAGAGACAGAGAAACATCAATGTGAGAGAGACACATCGAGTGGCTGCCACCCACACGGCCCCTGTTGGGGCCAGGGACAAACTGCACCCAAGGTATGTGCCCTTAGCGGGATCCAAACCTGGAACTCTCTGGTCCATGGGCCAAAGCTCTAACCTCTGAGCCAAACTGGCCAGGGCGAGATGAAAGAATATTTAAAACAAACTTGAATCACACAGTTTATCTAGAGCAGTTTCTCCTCTGGAATCCTAACTACAATGCCTACTTGCCTCAAGTGCTTGGTCCGTGCTTATGCCACTTAGCTTCTGGACACTGGGTTTTAGGGGAATTCTAGCCCCCAAGAAGTTTCTGCATTCTGTGTTCTCCACTTTAGTCAGAATCTGGCAGTCTGTCCTTCATCTGGACCCAGAATCATAGTTGTGGTCAGGTCAGAGTTTAACCTTTGGACACTGGATCATTTATGTTCCTTTCCCTGGATTGCTGACCTGAGAGAGGCTTATTATCCAAAACTTCTTTGCGCCCCTTCTTCATTCCTCAGCTCCTTGGGAGTGCCAGAGGGGAGCAGCAGCTGGATTGCTTGGCTCACTCACATTCCTGCTTTGCCATTTGTGGGGAGGGTGACAGCAAGGATTCGGGGAACCTTCCCCAAATGCTGGATGTCATTGTGCTTCCTTGTCTCCCTCAGTAATTTATGCTTTGTTGATTTATGTTATTACATGAACATTTGTTATCAACCTGTGGCTGTGTTGACCAGCCCAGGTTTGCTCTGGTTATCGTAGGAAGTGGTTCTTGGCTAAAAGTGGCTTTCTCTCCCTTAGGCTGTCTGAAAAAGCAGTTCTGAGCCTCTAGAAATTCTTCTACCTGACCTGACCCTTCCTATTTATGACTCTCTTATTAGATCTCATGTTGTCGTGACCATCAATGCAAGTGGCTTCCAGCGCCCATGAACACTTTCTCTACCCAGAGCCTGGCCCTGAATATCAGTTCTTGTGACGGCGCCCTGGTTGCTCTCCGCTATGCCTGGACCACATGGCCTTGTGAATATAAACAGTGTCCCCTATACCACCCCAGCAGTACCCTGCCAGCTCCTCCCTTCACTGCTTTCATTGCAAACCAGATGCTTGGGTATCACAGCAAGGCTGCTAAGTGATTTAGTTGCAGTATGGTCATATCTTAGGCACAAGCAAATGACCAAAAAAAATAGGTATATCATTTTGATCCATTCACACCAGACGGCTATTGTTGTGTTGGCTGTTGTGATTTTGACAATCTAAGAAAAAAGAGGTCAGTGCCTCTGACTAAACAGTCAGGTATTGCATATTTTAACAATTCGATTTGGGCATTAGGAGTTTAAATGATGACAATCACGGCTTTTATTTTAATTTTTTATTAATTTATTTTTGTTATGTTTCTACCCCCCCCCATTGACCCCCCCCTCCTCTCGATCCTGCAGTGTTGTCTGTCTATGGATATGCATGCCTGCCTATGTTCTGTGGTTTATCTCTTCCCTTCCCTCCCTCCAACCCCCTCTTCGAAGGTTTGTCAGTCTGTACCCTACTACTATGTCTGAGTCTATATTGTTCATCAGTTTGTTTTGTTCATTATATACCACAAATAAGTGAGATCATGTGATATTTGTCTTTCTGCTTGCTTATTTCACTTAGGATAATACTCTCCAGGTCCTTCCATGTCGTCTCAAAGGATAAGAGATCTTTCTTTCTTACGGCTGCATAGTGTTCCATTGTGTATATGTACCACAGATTTTTTTATCCACTCATCTATTGACACTTGGGCTGTTTCTACATCTTAGTGATTGTAAATAGTGCTGCTATGAGCATAGGGGTACATATATTCTTTCTGATTGATGTTTCAGGCTTCTTAGGATATATTCCTAGAAGTGGGATCACTGGGTCAAAGGGCAGTTCAATTTTTAACTTTTGAGGAAACACCATATTGTCTTCCATAGTGGCTGCACCAATCTGCATTCCCACCAGCAGTGTACTAGAGTCCCCTTTTCTCCACACCCTCGCCAGCACTTGTTGTTTGATGATTTGTTGATGGCAGCCATTCTGGCAGGTGTGACAACCATGGCTTTTAAAGGAAATTAACAAAAAACCTTGTTGGACAGTTCCCAGCTAGCACTGGGCTGTTTCTGTATTCTGAGATGAGCCAGGGCTGGTAAACAATGAAATGCCTACCTTTTGTTCTCTGGTTAGGCTGGTGCCTATATTGGACTCAGGCCAGACTACAAGCACATTGAACCTCGATGTCATTCACTTCCTCATGCTTGGGAGTGAAACATCTAGCAGGCCTACACGGCCTCGACAGTTCTTTCACTACCCTCGTTTCCACAATTGTAGTGTAGGGGACAAAGTGGTAAAGGTTTCACTCTAAGCCAGAAACAACTCTGCTCTTTCGGGCTCAACAATGTGAATGTTGACAGCTAACAAAGCACAACCATGTGTAGGCATTTGGGGAGGTGCTGAGGGCCAACCTTAGGAATGAAGAGAAAAGGCGAAGTGCAGTGAAGACACTCAGGCTGCCAGCAACTGGAGGTCTGGGGGAATCACAAGCTTAGAAAAATGTGACACTGGAGGTCACCAAGAGGCAAACAGATCATTGGAGTTAAATATAAATCTCAGGCTCTCTAAAGGTAAGAGTTTGAACTACCAAAACGAAGAAAATGTGAGGCTGAAAGTAAAGCTACATGATAAGCATTTAGAAAAAGAATGCTTACGGGATAAATATGAAAGAGGGCTTTCGTGTGTTAAGAATCATATGCTGTTTACTGGTTGATTAAAAACAACTTACAGCACCTGATAATTGTGTTGTCTATTAGTAGTTAGAAATAAAAGTATACAGTCATGCATCGCTTGACAGGGACAGTGTGAGAAATGTGTCATTAGATTTTGTCATGCAAACATCACAGAGTGCATGTACACAAACTTACATGGAACAGCCTATACTACTCCTGGGCTATAAGCCCATAAGCATGTTACTGTACTAAACACTGTAGGCTGCAAGCAGTTTCAACACAGTGGTATTTGTGTATCTAAACATACAAGAGGTACTTAAAGATACAGTGTAAAGGATAAAAAGTGGTACATCTGTACAGGGCACTTGCCATTAATGGAGCTTGCAGGACCGGAATTGCTCTGGGTGTCAGTACGTGCTGAGGGAATGTGGAGGTTTAGGATATTACTGTCTCCACTTAAGCTACTCTAAATTTCCATAACAATGTTTTTCTTCAATAATAAATTGACCTTATCTTACTGTATTTTACTTTATAAACTGGAAATAGCTAAGAAGTTCAGGTTCCTTTCATCCCCAATAATCCAGTGCACACAGTGTGAAAAGTGAGGGATACAGAGTAGATATATTAATGAAAAGTCATATAAAAGTTAATTTATTTTTTTAATCCTCACCTGAGGACATTTTTGCATTTATCTTCAGATAGAGCAGGAGGGAGTGAGAAAGAGAGAGAAACATTGATGTGAGAGTCACACATTAACTGGTTGCCACCCACATGACCCCAACCGGGGCCAGGGACAAACTGCAACCGAGGTACGTGCCCTTAGCAGGAACTGAACCCAGGACTCTCTGGTCTGTGGGCCGACACTCTCACCGCTGAGCCAAACCGGTCAGGGCAAAGTTAATTTATTTTTAATGGTTGAATAATTTAAAACATTCTGTGGGAACTCAGCTTATTTCCCAAATGAAAGAACATTTTACTGTTTGAAAAGTAAAATTTATAATCACTGTGGATGATTTGGATGCCAACAAAGAGTGTAGGGAAGTAAGAATCACTCCAAAATTCATCATTTGGAGAGAAACACTTAATATTTTGGTGAACAGTCACTTGATTTGTTTGGGTTGTATTTTACACTACACTGAATATTATTTTGTCATCTGTGTTTTTCACGTATTCTAGCAAAATAATTTTCCTATGTAAATTGAATGTAGATTTAGTGTTAAATTTTGTGGGACCCTTTTTAAAAAATTTATTTTTATTGATTTTTTTAGACAGAGAGAAACATCGATGTGAGAGGTTGCCTCCTGCACACACCCCAACTGGGGACTGAAATGGTGACCTTTCAGTGCCCGGGATGATGCTCAAGCAACTGAGCCACACCAGCCAGGGCTGGGAGCCCTGTTCTTTAACCATTTTCCCATTAGTGGACATACAGGTTTTCCCAGTTTTTCACTCTTATATTAATACTGTAATGTTGTACTTGCAAACATCACACTACACTTTATTTTCTTAAGGTCCTTAATGTGTTAACAGATTTAAGGATAAATATATTTAAATTTTTGATACCTACAGTTTTACCCTCCCAAAATTTTGACAGTTTTTATTCCCACCAAGGTATAGTCCAATTTTTTATCTTTCTCATTGATATTGCATGTTGTCAAATTTAAAACATCTTTAACAATCCAGTAGATGAAAAAATATTTCAAGTATAATATAGCAGTATTTTTTAAGTTTTTAAAAATAATGATCCATAGGAAAAACATTTGACATTCATGCATCCCCATACATGTGACTGCATGTGTGACATTTATATAAATACATATATACACACTATAGTTGCTACCAAAGCTTTGATCTTTTGACATGCAATGCATTTCAATATATTCTAATTATTTTATTTAAGATATACATCTTGACTCCCTAAGTTTAAGGACAACAAATGAGTTATTTCTGTTCTAGGAAAACTACAAAGTGAATACTCTTCAATAAGAAGAAACTGCACACTAACTTATTAAAATTATTTTTAATGTCTTAAAATGAGGCTCTCTTTTAATGTGTTTTACTCAAGCTGTAATAGAATAGAAAGATATTTTCTATATGATAAAAGCAGCATATATCATTTCTGTAAGTACAGATATATTCAGGCAACTTAACAAAGGTAAAAGAAAAATATTAAAACATTAACAGCTTTGAGTAATACCCTTTCCACCCTTGATTTTCCATAATTTAAATTATAATTAACTTTTGCACTGTAAAAGCCATATAAACTTATAAAATGAATGTTACTTGCTTCTGATACTTTGTAGTGACCAGTGTGTGGTGTGCTCTGAACACCACCCAAGCCCCTCCCTCCGCTGGCCAGATTCATCCCTATAAAATGTTAATCCCATTTGCAGTGTCCCTGAATTGTAGTCATGAATTGTAGCACTAACGATCCAGTTCTCACCACTCCCTCCCCAATCTGCTGCTTCTGGGGTCCTTTTGTTCCTGCCCATTCCAGCCAGCCCTAGTACTAGGAAGGATCCTCACTGCCCATCCAGCCAGCTGCTGTGGAGCGGTGGGATGAGGTGATGTGGTAAAGCCATAAGTAGGGTCCAGACAATTCAGTTGCACTGAATGCAGAGGTATGTTATCACATGGTTAATGAAATGAAGGGTAAGTCTGTTATGGAGGCTGAGAGCCAGTCCCCAGTCATATCTAGATTTGTGTTATAGTTTCAAAGTACTTAATTAAAAGCACATTCTCCAATAAGAAACCACAAAGAAGATGTAGAAAGTGTTAAAAGATAACTTTCTGATCTTCTCAAAGGATATGTGAAATGTGAAGAAATGGATGAAGTGTGCCTTGGGCTGGACTCTCCAGCTTGGGGATGAGCAGGGTGTGATTTTGGTGATGCTGACACAAAAATAAAACAGCCACTTCGGGTGCAGGGGCTGGGACTTAATATTCCTCAAAGCAGGATCAGAATCAAAAGGGTAGAAGGTTATCAGAATCTTAGTCTTTCATGAGTCAGCAGCCATCTCTCATGCTGGTTAATAAAGGACGTAAGTTTACTCTACCTGAGGCAGAGTGAAGCAAAAGAGATTATATCCCAATGACAAGATGAAAATAAGCAGAATTGTCAAGAGAAATTTATTACTAAAAATAAAGTAGGTGAAGTTTTTCTCAGGGAAAACTGTCAGCATGGGAACCTCCATGACAAAATGGGTTAATTTAATATTTTCTTCACTTCTAAATTGCTGCCTTCTCTCTCCAAATACTTTAAGTTTTAGTTTAAGTTAAAATCATCATGATGAAATGATGTGGCATCTGATCCCGTCTTGTTCAATCTGAAGACTGCACTGGGCTACACTGCGATGGAGACTTCAAGTGCTCTAGGTGATCACTGACCAAGGGTTCATGTGTCAGGAACATGGGTTGGTAAGATGACACAAAGGCTGTGGACTGAAGTTCCGGGAGGTCCAAGGATCCTAGGGAGAAAATTCCTCAAGTTCCAGTGTTGCCTGGAAAGACTGATCAGCTACATACACATTCTTTCAAATCCTTAACATTCTTGTATCTGTCAGCCCAATTTCACCCTTGTTTGATGAGACAGGACAGATACTCACTTTTACAATGAAGATATTTACATTCACTATGGCTGAAATAGATTAACTGACTTGCCTAGGGTTAGGTAGTATATCAGGCAAGGAGTGAGAATTTTAATTTTATTATCTTATTTCCAGTTCAGAGCTCTCCCTATATGATCCCAGTGTCGATCCCCTGATTGCTCCATTTATGGTAGGGAATCCATGGAACAGAGCCATGACCTGATCCCCTTTACCCCACTTGGAACCTTAGTCCTGTACAGTAAACTCTCCCTGAAGTTCTGCTTAGGTCTTAACTTCAGTAGAAAATAGAAACCGTAGTTTCTCCACGGGCCCTGTCTTACTAAAACCACAGCCATGCCCTGTGACTGCGGTGAGGACTGCTGGAGAGCTATGCACGGCAGCAGGTCCTCCTGGCTCAGGACTCTCCAAGGTTAGGGCAGTGAAAGCTTGTACCACTTACTGCCCAGACACATTTGGGATACTCAGCTATGAATGAAGAGGGGAGGGGAGCCTAAAAATGGTCAATATTCAAACCAGAAAGGTAAAGTTAAAAGATACCTTGTAGAATGGGATCATTATGACCTTCATCAAAGGTCTGTCTCTGAAAGGCTTCAAAGCTCACAGCTGCATCATTCTCCAGCGGTCCTTGGGGCAGCTGCCCATCTCCAGGTTTGCACACATCAAATTTCACCCACTGGTAACTGCAAGACCAAAGGGAATCATTATCAAGAGTGTCTGCTAGCCACAACCCACTCTTACCTCCAAAGGAATCAGGACTTTTTTTTGTAGATCCCTCTAATATATTTCTAACAACATATTAACTTAAAAAAAAACCCCAACATTTAAAAAGGCTTTCTTAGTGACACACTGTTCTTTAGGACTTCCTTTTGCTATTATGGTTCACAGAAAATGATAATTACAGTACAGCTGGGTACTGGCTTCTGCTCACTTGTCCAGAGGGCTAAATCAATGCCGAGGCACAGTAGTTAAGGAGCAAGCATGCTCTGTGCACAGAGGCAGCTCATTAAGTGTACGAATGAAAAAAACAGTTTAGGTCTCTGGGTCACTGATCATGGAGCTTCTCTCAAGGGAATGGATTTAACCACACTTACTTGACACATTTTCGAGCTCCTGGACAACTCTGGATCAGGTTGTGGATGGTTGGATGAGAAAACCCAAAAAAGTCAGCTCCAGCTGGAAGCAGGTGAGACATTAGTTTCCCCCTACACAGGAGAAGAATTGTAATTCAAGAGCTTAGAGGGAAATGAGAATGGGTTTAGGGACGGAATGTGGGCATGAATACCCAGAGTAAGCTTTCTTGATTTGTATACCCTGGAGACTAGCTGCTGAGACATCTGAAGGATGGAGGAAAGCATTCTACAAAATAACAGCTCCCTGCTCATTAAAAGCAAGAGAAAAGGTCTCACTGTACCAAAGTGATCTTTTTTGTTTGTCTTCAAGCTGTTGGTCAACTTACATAGTAGCACTTATAGCCTTGAGTAGTTCTGCATGACAGGCATTTGCAGAAGAACTGACAATGGCATTCTGAGGGTCATCTTCAGGAACAATTTCAAACTGAGAAAGATAAAGGAGCCATGAGAGCAATTTTCAAGGAAAAAGTAATAGAGAGAAGGCATACTACTCCTGTAACTATTCTTCACTCTGGAACTTGAAGCTGATATATACCATACTAGGAGGGAGGTACAATTTCTTACAGTGCTGTTAAAAATCCAAACAAATCAAAGAAAACAAAGTCCTTGACTATTTCAGTTCTATACTCCTGGCTTGATTGCTCTCAAGTGGTCAACACGTAACTGGTTACATGCCTTTCCAGACTCCTTTCTATCCACTTACACCTGTAAGTACAAATGCAAATGGCATCTTAAAAACAAACAAAATCATTCTCCGTATGTTCTCAAAACAGCTAAGAATATAGGCCATTTTGACTGCAAAACCCCATTTCAATTTTTGAATTGCAAAATACCTTGACTATTTGTAAAGATAAACTGTTAAATCAAAATTACACTTATAGTGAGGAATTTTTGTAATAAGTGCTACCTAGCCAACTTAATTCCTTGACCAGTTTTCTATAAAGTTCAATAAATTTTTGCAAAGAAAAATACCTGAGGTTGCATACCACCATCCTTGATCTGACAGGTATATAGACACTTTTGGTCTGGGCACTTCATGCTGGCATATATTCGAGTACTGCAGTAGCCCACAGGGTAGATGGCACTCTCGTCATGGAAGCCAGGTCGGTCGGTGATGATCTATAAAAAAGATTCCCCCAACCCGCAATTGAGATCACTGGAGAATTTACAAGTCCATGGACCATAGGTAGCCTTTGGAACCACTTTGGGGCTGCAAAGAGTGACTCAAATCACACAGAAAGAGTGTAGGCTATGTTGCAGATAAAACCGACCTGGTTCCCAGGGACTGGAGATTTTCTGGGGTTGGTCTGGAACAGCAAGGGGTTGCTACTAATGGGAACAGGGGGGGAAGGCTCAACCCCATTCCCATGTTTCTGATTCTCCTCTCTATATATCGCTGGTCTCACTCACCTCCCCCAGGCTATATACTGTTAGACCCCCCAGTCCGATGGGGAACACAGGCCGTCCTGAGGGATCCAGAGCAATGGGCTGAACCAGCTTGCGAGCACCTCCCTCCATTTTCTTTTTCTTGGATGTTTTCTTCAGAACTGAAACGCAAATCTGGGGTCATCCACTTTAGGCCCCTCCCAATGCTCAGGGGAAGGGAAAACTTTACACATAAGTGCTAAGAGCAATTAGCCAATCCTGATTCTACACACACAGGCACATGGGCCTTTTCCCCAAAGCCCTGAGTATCTTTCTAACCCACCCACCTAGCAGTTACCAATTTTAATATTATTGCTTAGGACCTAACACCTTATACTTAAGGTCTTTTCTTCACTTTTTAAAAAATATGTATTTTTATAGATTTTTTTTAAGAGGGAGAGAAAGAAACATTGATGTGAGAGAGAAACATCAATTGGCTGCCTCCTGCACGCCCCGCCTGGGTTCGAGCCCGCAACCCTAGCATGTGCCCTGACCGGGAATCAAACAGGGATCTCTCAGTCCATGAGAGGACGCTCAATCCACTGAGCCAACGGGCCAGGCTTTTAAGGTCAGAAATTTCCCAAGCAGCAGTGTGCTCTAAAGGCCACCTAGGTCATTTCCCTGCCTCGAGGAAAAGACTGAACTGAAGGCAAGCCAGAGAGTTGGGGATAGGAAAGAAGGAAGCCTTAGCCTTCTCCCTTCACATCTGACTGGGTGTAACGAACTCCTTCAAAGTGGCTCTGATACACTCGTTTTTCAAAGGCTATTAGGGCTGCTTAAGGACGAGATGAGAGTTTAAGTGTATCTGTGGCCGTCTGTGTCTATCAGTTAGTATCAGTCTTTGTCAACAGTTGAGCCACTGGCACAACTGATATCCCCTCCAAGGTACCTTCCAGTTTGTTGTTCTCTTTGCCTTTTTCTTTTTTCTCCTTCTTAGATTTCTTCCCAAATGGTTCCTCAGCCCCAGTGCTAGGCCCAGAAATGGGCCCAGCTCCCTGTAGAGTTCCCACAGAGCTGGCCACACCGTAAGTCAGGGGCAAAGTGGAGCTGTGAGAAGGAGCTGCAGCCTGTACTTCCCCTTCAGTTAGAGCCTGAAGTTGGAGAAGCTTCTTTAGCAAGTACCTGAGGTTGGGAAGGAAAGGAAGCAGATGTATGGACTTCCACTTTATCGTAAATCAATACTTTACTTAAGTACTGGGAAAAGCCAGAGCTATATAATAAGATTATTATACTCATAAAAATAAGATTCTTATTGAACCCTGAGAATAATGAAGCTCCAGAGGGTAACACTCAAGGAGCCAAGGATAAAGAATTGTAGTGTATCTCTCTGCATTGGGAGGGTTGTTCTACCTTGATGTTGGAAGGTGTTAGGCTCCTGAAGGACATATACCATGAATTGCATACACACCCACACACGCACACACGCACACACTGTGCTTTGCACAGAGTATAGTACATACTGAATAAATATTTGTAGACTAAAGAGTTTCTTTTATAATTGTGGAGCTATAATTAGATTACTTATTCACTGCGGCAAGAGTGCTGTCTCAGAAAGATGAATAGAGACACTGTCTCATTACTATGATCCAACATGATCTGGGTAAACGGGAACCAATACCACAGGTTGTGAGTTTCTCTGTACCTCATCAGTGGTTAACAGGCTGTGCAATGCACAAAAATACCACTGGAGAAAAATCCCTAGAGCAATAATACCATATCGACCACCAAAACTTCCAAACACAAAATGAAGTCAGCTCACCGTCTTTCTTCTTTTGCTTTAAGAAATTTTTCCTCAAGACGAGCAATCTCATCACAAATAGCAGCATTTTCCTTTAAGAAAAAAAAATTGAATAACATAAAATGAATAAGAAATCAAAGTATTTTGCTAGGAAGAAACGTTATATTTAAAACCAGACAAGTCTTTATTGCTAGATAAGGAAGAACTAGTCTACCTTGCAAACTATAAAAAAAAAACCTAGAGGTAACAGTAGAGTCAAGTTCTACTATGGATGGAGTAATTACAGAATTTATCAAAACTGGGGTACCTTTGAGTAAAAAGGGGGCACTATTAATGATAACGCCAGAACAACATGGTAAACTAGAGCTGTTCTGGGCAAACCAAGATGTGCAGTCATCCTACATAGGGTAGCCTTTAACAGAGAAAAAGTCATACTGCTTAAATCCATAGATGCTTAAACTCAATCCTCATAAATCTGAGGAATATCCATTCCCAAGTACTTTCACTCTTGGGGAGCTTACAAAACCAACCTAAGTCAAAGCATCTCGTGCAATATGAACCTTACAGAGAAAAACTGGATGGAACAAAATGAACTCCAGTATGTACAATTCTTAAACTTCATAATCTACTTATTCAAGTACTGTCTGTCTTTACTGATGACTCAGTCTATTTCCCAAGCATCAGTCCTGAAGGGAATGGCTCCAATCTGGAAGTTCCACAGGTGGGACCCCAAACTCTAGAATGTTCAAAACAGTAGCCCTTTTCATCATAAAACCTTTATGTAGGACTTAATGGAACCAAAGTCCTTCTAATAACATAGGCTTCAAGCTTTATGTGCCTTTGACACGTAGGAAATAAAAGAAAGGTATCAACTCCTCTTAATTCTACTATTTTTATTTCTCCCCAGTGCGCAGAGCAAGTGCTAACTAAGTGCTTTGGGAATGAATGTGCTAATTTCCAAACCTTTCCTGATGCTTCCAGAAAAGGCTGGGAGAGTTTCAAGGTTTTGGTAGAAAGAAGGGGTAAGGTGCTCATTCAGACACGAGAGGACCTCTGAGGACTCCTCTCTCTACTTCCACGCACTGAGGCAAGCTTGAGCCGGTGGGATCATTTTAACACAAAGTGTGGCTGGCAATCCATTCATTCAATAAACCCAGTGCCTCTACAATAAAAGAACGGCTGGAATACTTGGGAGACTCCACAGGGGTTAGAAGGGGACACATCATTGAAAGCTCATGGATGCATCTGTTTAGGGAAGGGGTGCACGGGTGCCTGGGAAATAGGCTGGGTGGTGGAAGTAAAACAGAAACTCGAACCAGGGCGTCTAAGTTGGTGCCAGGGCTCAATACAGTGCCCTTCAGCAAATCACCTCTGGGCTTCAGTGTTAAACACAGGGCCCCCTTCTCAGGGTTCTCTCGAGAATCAAACGCATTTCCAAGAGTTTTGCGGTAATAACGATAACGGCTAAAACTCACGGCCACATCTTCTGGGCACCAAACACTTTCCCATTTAACAACCTCGCGAGGTAGCTATGCGCGCTCCCAGGCAAGAAGCGGACCACAGAAAAGCTGCGCTCTGTCCAAGGACAGACACGCGGCCGCGAGGAGCGCCGCACGCCGCCGGGGCGACCCCCACCGCGCCCGCCTCCGCGGAGGGGCAGGAGGGGGCAGGCGCGGCGCGCCCTCGGGGTGGGGAGGGGCCGAGCGGCGTCAGACTCACAAACACCGTGGCTTTGGCGGCTTTGCGCAGCCGCAGGTACTTGAGCCGGTACTTCTCGTTCTGGCTCCTCTTCGGGAGCTTTTTCATCCCGGCCTTGGCGGTCGGCGGCGCGGCCCGCGGCGAGGGGGCGAGGCCGCCCAGCAGGCTCATGGCCCGGGCCCGCGGCGGGGCCTCCCGGGCTCGGCGGGCATCGGCGCCCGGCCGAGGGGCGGCGGGGCGGCGGCGGCTCTGCGCTGGCGGAACCGGGCCCTGAGGAACCGACCTCCCCAGAACGTTCCCCGCGCGCGCGGCTGGGCCAGAAACCCGCGCTCGAGCCGGAGCCCAGAGCCTCCCCGTCCTTCCGCGGCTCCTCGGACGTAACGCTGCCCGGAAGTTACGTCACGGCGCCGACGGACGTTACTTGTGGGTGGAGGGCGCGCGCTCGTTTGGACCTTGGGTGTCACCGGCTCGGGGCGGCGGGGACCGGCGGCCACCGTGTGGCCCTGGCGACTCGCGTCCGCGCGCTGGCCGCGAGTGGGAAGGTTGGGCCGACGTGTAGGAATCGGCGGCACCTTCCCGGCCTCGCGAGTCTCCCGCCCCCGCAGCCCACGGCGTCCACAGCAGCTGTTACACGTGGTACCCATAATGTGTCAGTTAGGGCATAATAATTTGACGTGATTATTTTCATGTTGTTTGACCTTTTGGTTATCAGTTGCTGCAAAGTGCATCTCTGTGCGCAGAGCTTTTTCTCCGCAGGATTATTCGGAGGCTGGGTCTGCGCTCCAAGCGTCGTTCAGTCACTTCTTCCTCCAGACCACGTGTAGTGCTTACGGGGGAATGTTTAGGAAACTTACTTAAGAGGGAAAGCCAGACAAATAAAGGGCGAGATCAATACAGTGTAAGTTTTATCTCAGAGGTAGGTATTGGAAGATATGGCATCACCTAGTTAGGGAAGGGGGAGGAGATAAGGCCTCTTTAAAAAAAAAAAAAATATATATATATATATATATATATATATATATATGTCTTTATTGATATCACAGAGGAAAGGAGAGAGAGAGAGAGAAATATCCATGTGAGAGCAAAACATCCATGGGGTGCCTCCTGCACACCCCCTTCTGGGAATGGAGCCCACAACCCAGGCATGTGCCCTGATGGGAATGTAACCATGTCCTCCTGGTGCATGGGCCACGCTCATCCAACTGAGCCGCACCGGTGGGGCGAGAGGGCTACTTGAAAGAAGTGTGCCTGAGCAGACTCAAGGAGAGAAGAACAGGAGGGCATCTTGGGCACATGGGGACAGCGTATTCAAAGGCTTAGCATCATGAGAAGCGTAGAAACTGCAGGTAGTTGATTAGAGTGAAATAGGTATGTGGAGCGGGGCAAGAGGACTGAAGCAGTAGGCAGTACGCATTTGGGTAGCAAAGCGTCTTGTGTACCAATCTGAAGAGTTAGACTTTTACCAGTGACAATAGGTAGCCATTAATGAATGTTTATGAATCAGCCCCTTTGCCTGTTTTAGGTAAACTTATCCAAATTTGTCAGAAACAACATACTTTTTCTACTTACCTATATGAGGAAGGGTATGGTAACATGTACCTTTAAACAGAAATATTGGCCCTAGCCAGTGGTCGATTCCCAGTCAAGAGCATGTACCTGAGTTTTGGGTTCAATCCCCATTCCAGTTGGGGCAAGTGCAGGAGGCAACCAATCTGTGTGTCTCTCTCTCACATCTATGTGTCTCCTCCCCCTACCCCCTTCCACTCTCTCTTAAAGAAAAAAATCAATGGAAAAAATATGCTCGGGTGAGGATTAACAAATAAAACAACAAAAAAGAAATATTGAATTGTGGACTGAGCATGGCTTTTAGAGTCAGGTCAAGGTTCCATTAAACAGGCACAGGAGTGAGAGTTATCAGATCAGATGTGGTGATATGTCAGGAGAGAGACAAGGGGATTTACCAGCATTTACTCAAACAGTCACTCTTCAGTGATTGGCTGCAAGTGGATGTATAGCCTCCCCTGGCCTATTAAAAGCATACCTGGGCCCATTAGGAGTTGAGAAGGAGTCCACAGCCCATAATTCCAGTCCTTGGTTAAGTGAGTCCCTGATTTAAATGATGAAAAGGTATATCTGCACACCTCATGGCTCCAACCATGGCCGATGCATGGCCCTGGCCTTGTTTTACACTATCCTTAAGCCCCAAGAGCATCTTATAAGTTCCTGCCATTATTGTCTCCTGCCCACTTGCAGGCCACAGAGGGCCTGGCCAAGGTTGATGACTTCCACCAAACAAGCTGGGCATATTTCTAGGATTTCAGGCTACACCAAAGCATTTCCAGGGATTTCATATCTTTATTCTCTTACCAGATTAACACACTTCCACTTTGGAGTAAGCTGAGTATGTATCCCAGAAGGGCCACAGAGTAAATATAGAGAGAAGAACCTGCCTTCATAAATAGCCTTTAGAACCTTCTTTCCTTGTAGAACATCTAGACTTTAATGTTAGTTGTAGGGTTTTTTTCCATGTCTTATCTTCTCACCTTTAGGATAGCATGATGCAGGATATATAATTCAGCTGAATCCAAGCTTAGCATTTCTAAAGATATTTTTCATATTTGTGTATGAGGCTTGTGAGGAAGTAGAAAGACTTTTACCCATAAAATTTCTTGCTCCATGATTTCTTAACTATGGGTTTTCATCACACACCTGGTGAGTGAGATGTTTAGGTTTTGAGGGTTCTAAGCCAGCTAATAAAGTCATGAAATCAACCACAGTGTCAATGTTGTGCTTCTGGGTGGTTGTGTCCTTCAACACACATAAGACACTCAACCAGCTAAAAGAGATGAGCTCAGAGATGTTGGCTCGGAGGAAAAGAAGGATCACATTGAGATCATTGATGGGGCACCCCAGCATCTTTTTGCTGAGGAGGTCAAATGCCGGGAGCATCTCATAGATGGACAGGAGTCGTTTGTCCCATCGACATAGCTGTGTGAGGTTATAGATGATCACTGGAACCAGTAGGGTGTATATTGCTACAGTGGAGAGACTAACAATCTGGAAAACAGACAGGGAGGTTAGTCTGCACGTGATGAGATCAGGGATGTGGGTCTCGTCGCTTAGCAGCCCTGTCTTGACAGAACAACTGAATTCCTTTTGGAAGAAGACATCCAGGTGGAAGTGGCCAAGGTACAGGTAGGTGACTGAGGTGAAGAGGAGCAAGAGGGAGTTCCTCAGGAGGTAGGTAGCCACTAGTGAATGTGAGCGCTGCTTACATGCCAGGTACCGCTCTAGCAAGGGGAATTCAAAGTATCGTTCTCTCCGAGCCCTGGGCGGGGGAAGAAAGGAGGCAAGGTTAGGAGGGAACATTTAGAACCGTAGCCTGAGGGAGACGTGGGAAAGGAACAGAATCTGCATCTCCAATAAGGCCTTCTCGTGAAAACCTGCCTTCTCTGAGCATAATCACCCTTCTTCCCAAAAGGAGGTAAATAAGTACATCTTAATTCTCCAAGCAATGAGTGCAGTGCAGTAAGCCCAGTGAATGACCCATGAATAATAAATTGTCACACTGGAATTCTGCCCAGCAAGGCTGTATAAACCTCTAAGCAAAAGTAGGATCTTTAGGAAGCAGTAAGGCTTATTAGCTTAGCACTGGACTAAGAGCCTAAATAAGCATATTTCTGGTTTGGTCTGTATACTTTGTGTGCTTTTTAGGCCAATTCATTTAGTTTATAAAAATAAATGTGCTAACAAGTACTTGTTGAGAGCTGTGGTATTCAGGTACATGTAAGCCAGTCTCTGTTCTGAAGAAGCTTATAGTCTGGCTTGTGGAGAAGCAGCAGATAAGATACGCAAACATAAAGTAAAAATAGCACTTGCCCTGGCCAGTGTGGCTCAGTGTGGAGCATCATCCCTTACAGTGAAAAGTGGCAGGTTCGATTCCCGGTCAGGGCCCGTACCCGGGCTGTGGGTTCAACCCCCGGTTTGGGCACCTATGGGAAATAACTGATTGATGTTTCTCACATTGATATTTCTTTCTCTCTAAAATCAATAAAGAACATATCCACAGGTAAGGATTAAAAGAAAAATAGCACTTGATAAAATGATGAGTAAAACCATGGCAGTTGTAAATTAGGAGAGGATCACAGCGTGGGCTGGAGGGTTCAGAAACCTTTATGGAGAATATTATCTCAGACTTCAAAAGGTAGGTAGGGTTCAAACAGAGTAAGTGCACAGACGACACAGCGTGGTTTCAAATCTTAGCTCAGCTACGCTCGTGGTGGAGCCCACCCTGGCCATTCTGTTTAAAACTGTACCACTCCACCACCCTAGCTTTCCTGCCCACCGTCTCCCTAGCCTGCTTTACTTTTTTTTCTTCATGCCACTTATTTTCTACCATATAATTTACTTATGTGTTATGATTATTTGTTGTTTGTTTTTCCCGATACAGCATAAGCCCCACATGGGTGGGTGTAGTAGCCTTGTCTACTCCCCACCTCTGCCCCCAGCACACGCACAGACATCTCTAAAGGACCAGAACAGTGCCTGGTACTCATAAATGATGGATGAATGACGAAGTGGATGAATAACTTGTTCAGGAGAAAAGAAGGAGGCTGCTTAGGGAGTGTGGAAAATTTCTGTTACTTGGTAGTTAGAAGTTTGAAAAAGTATCTAGGAGAATGTGGATTTTTTCTGTGTACATGAGGGGAGCGATTGGGGGTTTCTGAGCAGGGGAGTGGCATGTGGAAGCAGTATTTTAGAGTGATCAGTCCCTTTGTGACTGTTCATCTATAAACCAGAGGCAGAGTCCATTCTCTTCTCCCTGTACACAGATGATAGAAAGTGAACGAGAGGCTATGTTAACCACTTTGCACTCTTGAGAAGGATGGTGGAAAAGGTAGTTTATTTACTTATTAAAACAATTTTTTTCCTTTATTGATTTTAGAGAAAGTGAGAGGAAGAGAAACACTGATGAAAGAGAACATCGATTGGCTGCCTCCTGCCTGCCCTCCACTGGGCATCCAGCCCACAACCTGGGCATGTGCCTTGACGGGGAATTGAACTGGTGACCTCTCGGTGCTTGGGTCAAGGCTCAACCACTGAGCCACACTGGCCGGGCTAGAGGGTAGTTTAAACATTACTCTGTACGATATCACTTTAATGCTTGACAGAGTCCTTCAGAAAGGAAAGGAAGAGACAACTCACTTTTCCAGCTCATCCCAGAAAACATGGGGGTCCGAGCTCTTTTGCCGGATCTTCACCATGTGCTGCACCAGGCGGATGGAGCGGTTGTAGGATTTGTCCAGTTCGCTGATGATG